TTAGTGTTCCTGAATACAAACAACGAAGGATCACATCTTCAGTCTTGAAATCCCACGGTAAGAAGAAAGGCAGCTAAACAAGAAAACCACGCTCGAGGTGCTTGTTTAAGTCCATAAAGAGACTTATTAAGTTTACAGACATAGTGAGGCCGCTTGGGATCAACAAAGCCTTGCGGTTGAACCATATATCCTGTCTCATTCAAAGTGCCATTAAGGAAAGCGTTGCTCACATCAAGTTGGAAAACCGGTCAGTTAAAAGAAACCGCAATCGCAAGTGCAGTGCGAATGGTGATAGGCTTGATGACTGGACTAAAGGTTTCGGTGTAGTCAATTCCATTAGCTTGAGTAAACCCGCGAGCCACTAGTCGAGCCTTGTACCGCTCAACCATCCCATCAGCATGCATTTTGATCTTATAATGCCAACGATTACCGATGACATTGCTAGAAGAAGGAGGTGGAACAAATGTCCAGGTATTGTTTCTGAGAAGAGCGTCAAACTCTTGTTTCATGGCGATTTGCGAGGGAGGAAGTAATTTGGCTTGGGAGAACGAAGTGGGGGTTAAAGGGACAGAGGCAGTGAGAAAAGAAGCATTGGCGAATTTAGTTTTGGAGAGAGTGGTTGGTCACAAAGTCATAGGATGAGTACGAGGTGGAGGAATAGGCTGATCTAGGTCGACAACAAGCTTGAGGCCAGGAGAAGAAGAGGGATTGTTGATTAAGGTTTTGGAGTGAGAGGGGAAAGGAGAAGAAGACGGAGTGGAATGTGGATCAGGTAAAGTGGTAGCGTTCTCAAGATCAGAAGATCGCAATTGAGAAAGAGGAGAAGAAGGAGACAAGCGTTGATCAGGAAAGGGAGATAAAACAGGACTAGATGATGATGAAGAAGTAGTGACCGACAGGGAAGGAGAGTTAGGATTTGACGGGAGTGGAGGAGAAGTAGGAGGCTTGTGAGTATTTGAGTGCGAGGAAATTGGGCGAGAAAGTTGCAACCAAGGAGAGGATGGGTGTGTAGCAGGCGGCGACCGTGGAGAATTTAGAGAAGTAGAATTTTTAAATGGAGAGCATGACTCATCAAATTGAACATGTCGAGCGACATATATTTTATTTGTCGAAAGATCAAGACAACAATAACCTAAATGAAGAGGAGAGTATCCGAGAAAAACACATTGTGTTGATCGGAAAGAAAATTTATGTTTGTTGTATGGACGAAGCAATGGATATATTGCACATCCGAAAACCTTTAAAAAAGTGTAATCTGGATTTTTTTTATAAAGAACAGTGAATGGAATTTTTCCTTCAAGAGAAGTGGATGGATGTCTATTGATTAAAAACACAGAGGTTTCAAATGCAAATTCCCAATATTTAAACGGGGAACCACAATGACCAAGAAGTGCAAGACTGGTATCGACTATATGACGTATTTTCCTTTCGGCTGTACCGTTTTGCTCGTGAGTGTGTGGACAGGCAACACAATGAAGGATTCCGACCTCTTTAAAAAAATTATGAAGGGAACGATATTCCCCTCCCCAGTCGGAATTGACACTTTTAATGGTAGTTTGGAATTGATTTTCAACAAGTGTCTTGAACTGTTTCAATATAGGAAGAACGTCACTTTTATTTTTAATGGGATAAAGCCAGGTAAAGAGGGAGAAATAATCAATAAATAAATTAAAATAGCGATAACCATTCATTGAAAGAAGGGGAGCAGGGCCCCAAACATCTATATGAATCAAATCTAAAGGTTTACGACTACGATGAAAAGGAGAATGCAAACTGACTCGATGAGACTTTCCTAAACAACAGGCTTCACCCTTGTCACTGGTCGTAGATTTAGGAGAATACGGAAGTTGGAATTGACTAACTAAAGACTTTAAAGTTTTATTATGAGGGTGCCCTAAACGGGCATTGCCATCGACCTAACGAAGCTAAGTATGCCGCTGCTGCTGGAAAAGAAGAGTGGTTGTGATGCCCTAGATCCAACCGTTAGAGGCCAGATTCAGTCCGCCCGTAGAGTAGAGTCATTCTGCTGGAAAGATCCTTTACACAACAAAAGTAAAGATGAAATTCAAAGAAACAATTATTATCACGACAGAATTGTTGAACAGAGAGTAAGGGATTTACAAGAGTCGGAACATGAAGATATTTTGTAAATAGAGAGGTTTAGAGTTAGAGGGAATAATGGAATGACCAACATGTTTAATAGGAAGAGTTTGACCATTTCCAACAGTGAGATGATCGGTACCTTGGTAATCGTTAGCAGTGCTGAGAGATGTAAGGTCAGGAGTGGCATGATGAGTTGCACCAGTGTTGGGATACCACGGAGAAGGAGTGTTGTATGCTGCAAGGTTAGCCTGAACAGAAGGAGTAGGCAGGAGACCATCATCGGTTGCCTGGGAAGGAGCAAACCGGGGCATAAAAGTAGTATCAAACCGGCATCGACAAGTAGCGACGGTATGATTATCATAGCCACAAAGTTGACATATAGAACCAGGAGATAGGGGAGGACCATTGTAGAAGCCCCGGCAACTACCACGACCGCCTTTGTTACCGCGACCATGCACACGAGACTTACCACGGCCATCGCCATGCACAGATTTAGAGTCACCAGATTGAGCCAAATTAGCAACAGGAGGAAGCGCCGGTTGTTGTGCCTTCAACAATAACTCATAAGCCACAAGTTGACCATGAAGGTCCTGAAAGGTTGCAGGATCAGGGCGCTGCTGTAATGCGCCAATAATTCCATTATAATCGGAACCAAGTTTCCGAAAAATAATTGCATTGAACTCGGCAGAAGAGATGACGTGACCAGCCATAGCCAAAAAGTCAGCAATTGATTTAGCCTTATGAAGAAAGGTGGAAACCGACATATCACCCTTGGATAAATTATGAAGCTCGAGAATGAGCTGAGTTTGTTGGGCATAAGAGAGAGCCCCATAACTGTCGGCCAGTGTTTTCCAAGCCTGAGCGGACGTAGAGACACCCTGGAGAAGTGGGTAGATATTTTCAGCAATGGATGACAAAATCCAAGAGAACAAAAGCTGGTCCTTTTGATGCCAATGAGTGAATGCCGAATTGGGCTCCATGGCAGAAGAGCTAGAGTTTGGAAGCATTGGTGGTGGAGAAGCTTCAGTACCGTCAATAATAGAAGATAAATTGAGCATATTGAGCAGCGGGGTAAATTGCAAGTTCCAGGCCGTATAATTTTCACGGGATTGCAACTTAATAGAGAAAGATTGGTTGAAGGAGGACAAGTTGGGAGCGAATGAAAAGAGGGGCGTGGAAGGAGAGCCGGTAGAAGTAGCATTGGACGAAATTTCAGAGTTCGTCATAATGCACAGGAAGAACCAGGAAAGAAAAGAAAAAAAAAGAATGGTCTGATACCAAGTTAAAGGATCAGAGACAGTATATTAAAGAAAATGTTTCTCATTGAATGAATGATCTACACAGATGATACATGTATATATAATACAATTGGAGAAAGAGATAATCCTGACTAACTGACTAACTCATGATAAATAGAATAATAAACACATGTGAGATAAATATCACCAAGAGATAACTATGACTTTAACAAACACTATGGTCTATTTGAAGGGAGAATACATTAAGTTAACGGTGAATGACCAAAATTCGGTAATTGTTCAATATATTATTACTTTTTCACTGATTTGAGTCCCATAATTTTTTACTTGTGTTTAATTGTTAAAAAAATAAAAACCCAAAACAAATAAGTCAAAGGAAAAAAAAAAAAAACCCTTCCCTTTCAACTCTCCCCACCCTGCTGCCGGCACCGCCACCACCACCCAGTTGTTCATCCTCCCCTCCCACCTTCTCCATTTCATCGCTTTTAATTCATCTCCCATTATCCACATACAATTTCCATCTGATTTACAAATTCTTCTTGTTTCATGATTTCAAGCAGGAACGCCTCTAAGGATCCACCATAAAACGGTCTAAGTTGAGCCATAGTTCTTTTCACAAATTGATTTCCTTCTTTGGCTACAAATGTATTGCTGTCAATTCGAATTCCTCACATCTTAATATTGGAGCAGGGAAAGGAATAATAATTCATTAATTTGGGTTCTCTTTCTTCTTCATGGAATACTAGGGGGCAAAAAGAAAGATGGAGGGAACTGATGGAATGGTTGAGGAATCATTTGGTTCGGATTCGCCATGATTCTGAGGTGTATAAATTATTGGGTTTTTTTTTTTTATTTCTTGAAATTCAATTTCTTTTGATTGGATTTGAATAAGGACATTGATGTGTGAATTTCGCAGCTAGAGATTGAATTTTGGTAACTCAATTTGAGTTGTTTGGTAATAAGGAGATTTGACTTGCCTGATTTTTTCTTTTATCTCAGCCAAGATCATCATCAATTTGCAGAATTTTCCTACCATGTTGATTCCCCATGGTAGCAGTATCCATAACAAGAAACATCAATAGATATTGCAGGGAGAATTTTGTGATCAATTGGCTATGCTTCTGCATCAAATGCGATGCTTTGCTAGTGGAAAGGATCATTGAAATATTGTATGAGGATGAACTAGTAGGCGGTAGTGGTGGTGCCGACGGTGGGGTGTGAGGAAGAGGAAGACGAAAGCCGTGGGAGGTGGTTTTGACTTTGGAGGAAAAATTCAAAATAAATAAATAAATAAAATATTAGTGGGTCCATTATTGATGAAATATTAATAAAATATTAAATAATTGATGGATTTTCTAATTCACCGTTAAAGTTAATGAATTTCCCGTCAAATATACATAGCTGTTGAATAAACTTAAACTTGAGGACTAAAATCGTTGAAGAACATTTTATGGTGACCGACCTAAGTTACCCCGAAATTTTGGGGATCAATACTAAGTTTTGCCCTTCTCTAATTCCAGTTTGAGTTCTTCCACTAAGCTCCGCATGGAACTCTCTTCTTCTGCCATTTGCATTGTCCATCTATTTTCTTAGGTATTCAATTTCTTACATAGACTGAGCCAGTTGAGCTTCTAAATCTCAAGTGCTTTGGGGATCAATATCTTTCTTCAAGGTCCTCAATTTATTTGTTGATTCTTCAAGTTTAGCTCTAAAAGTTTGCTTCTCAGCATCCTTATCAGCATATAGTTTTGTTTCTTCTTCTCTTGCATGAACAATTTCAAGCTTCACTTCCTCAATTGACTCATGTACACCCGCTATTTCTTTCACCAATTCATTAGCTCTCTTTTTATTTGCTTCAACAGTGATCTCAGCTTCTACTGCCTGATGGATAGCTGCAGCTTTTTCTTGCTTAGAAAAATCATATTCTTCGCGTAGTTTTCTCAGCTCTTGTTTTGCAGGACTAAGTTCCCAATGAACAGCTGTATATTGTTCTCGGTCAGATCCAAAAGAACCATCACTCCTATTATCCATTTGCCTTAAATGATTTGGGATTTCTGCTGCTTTAATTGCCAATTCCTTTGAATCGCTGACTTTTTCAAGTTCTGAAAGTGCCTGGGTTTTAGTAGTTTCGGTACTCTTTAATGGATCTTTCAACTTATTAAGCTCTTTCTGGACTCTATGTAAAGCCGAGTCTCCTTGCCAATATTCTCTAAGAAAAAAGAGCGTACAAGAATCAGAAGTCCAGACAATAGACTGAAAACAAACATGCGTACATGAGTTAAAGGAGAAAAAAAAAAAAAACACGTCATTTACATAATCATAATTTCTCGGAGTTGCAAGTGATTAACTGTAAAGCAAGTAAAACTGCAACATGATAGCAATGGATTGTAGTGGATTACAACTGGCCCTGAAAGTTCTATGCATTGACTGGTCAGACATATTAATCTCTCAACAGTGGATTGCTACAAAATTCGAATAACTGACTTCCTCAAGAACACAACTGAGAGAAGTATTATTCCAAAATAAACATTTCAATTCCAGCCCATTAGCTGTAAGCACCTTCTTGTAAACTATCATAGTCAAACTTAATGGTACACATCATAGTCATACACATGCTTAGCGAGTTGCTTCTCTGCTAAAAAGAAAAGGATCTCATGAAATAACAATGAAGTATAACCATGGAGTTTATTTCTAAATTCCATTAAAGCAGCAACTTGTCATTAGTACAAGTTTACTTGCAGAGAAGGTTGAATGTTTCCTTTTCCAAAAAGGCAAGCAGCATATAACGACAATGTGTAACACATGTAGCCACACCAGGTTCTTTGATTAGTATCCTATAATCAAAGAAAAGCATTCAAAGACAATATATGAAACTTTAATGAACAGAAAAGTTCCAACTGCCAAAGTACCATAAATGGAGATCCATACAACTCATAAGATCTGTTGAATTTTGCAAATAAAATTACACTCAAAGATTCAGATCATTAGCTTAATGCAAGGGATCTTTCCTGACCACCAATGATCTCATGAAATTCTTATACTTAAAAAAATCCTAATAGATAATATACAAAAAATTGGAGTAACCAATTCTAAAACCGAATGCGTGCAAAAAAAAACCTTGATTTATTTTCATCAGCAACGTATATAGAAGTCAATTGGTTTCCACCTCAAAACCAATTAGAAATGAGGGGAGTAACCCATATACTTATTGATATCAACTCTCTCTCACCACCGATGTGGGATACTCAACACTTCCCCGCAAGCCCAACGTCTCTTCTTGGGTTGGGCTTGTCAGCCCAGTCACCGCCTCACGTCTCAACCCTACCATTTCTATCACATCAGGCTTGGAGTCCGACTCTTGGCGGGCAGACTCTGATACCATATAGAAGCCCATGGGGTTCCACCTCAAAACCAATTGGCAATGAGGGGAGTAGCCATATACTTATATATTGATATCAACTCTCTCTCACCACCGATGTGGGATACTCAACAATTTTCACTTTTCCGGCTTATAATATTTTTGCCCGTCAATATACAAATTAATGAAGTTCCAAACCTGTCTTGTGTTCTTGATGCCATCAAATCATAATCATAGAATAATTCAAAGGGTCTCTCAAACGATTGAAAATTAAAAAACAAGGATGCGTAAGGGGGAAAAAAGAAACTCCGATGAAAATAAAACGTACATAAAAAAAACAAAATTCTCATAAATCAACAATCATGCTGCATTTCTTTAAGGAATTATAAATATAAATACTCAACATTCATTAACATGCTAGCAGTTTAAAACTTCAATTAGTTTATACTAAAGCAATAAACTTATTCAATTATCTTCATCTTCGCCGGTTCTCCTATTCTCTCTCTAATAGTGGCCGGAATCTTCAAATTCCAGTCTCATTTCACGGTCTCATGACCGGTGAACAACCCGAGGAGCTCCCCACTGGACCTCCTCGCACTATTGCAAGTTTTTTTCAAAAGCCAATAGACCCTCCTTCGTCTAAAGGATCTCTAGTCAAGGAAGTCCGTTTTGTTAATGGTATTCCCGTTTTTGGGGTACGAAGAAGATGAATATGATCAATTGGTAGCCCCACACCAATTGAGTCTAATCGGAAAGATTTCATATGTTCAACCGAAAATGGAAGAGGTCCACAAAGAATTCAAGAAGCTAGGGTTCCATGGAGGCTATACTCTTGGCCTTATGAATCCTAGGCATGTCCTCATTCACTTTGAAAGGGAGGAGGATTATCAAAGATGCTGGATTAAAACGTTTTGGAACATCGCCGGATTCTCCATGAGAATTTTGAAATGGAGGCCGGATTTCAAATTTGAGGAAGATCCCCCCATTGTCCCAATCTGGGTCTCCCTTTTTGATCTCCCGATTGAATTTCTCAATCCGGAGGTAATTTTTTCAATAGTAACCGCGATTGGGAAGCCATTGAAGGTGGATGCGCCTACTCTTAACAAGACAAGGCCTTCGGTAGCGCGTTTTTGTGTTGAAGTTGACCTTACAAAAGTTCTCCCAAAATCTGTGAAGGTGGGAAAAAAAGGCAAGAAGCATGACCAGATTTTCACCTACGAACACATTTCGGCTTATTGTACTAAGTGTAATAAGATTGGGCACAAGAAAGAGGATTGCCGGGCTGGCCTCCAAAAGGCTGTTGACAAGAAGAAAAAGGCTCCGGTGAAGACTGTTGATAGAGCCAAAAAGAAGGACCCTTTGCATGATAATTCTACAAAGCCGCAGGAGAAGGCTGCTTCAAACCCTAGCGCACAGGAGAAAGCCGCAACTAACCCTGGCGCGCAGCCGGCGACAAACCCTCGCGCGTAAGGTGTGGCGACGTCAGCTTCATTTGATGCTACAGAACGACCATCATCATCTGGACTTTCTGCTAAGGAGAAGAAAATGATTCCGGTTTATGTGCATGCTACTGCAGTAGAAGATCAGTCCAAAGAGGCTTCCATGTTACCGGATTCTCCCCGGAATCCAAAGTAGTGCGCAGCCCGTTGCGGAGAAGAACAGATTTTCGATTTTGTCTTCGATTCTGGAGCTCGATGATGAAATAGGATCTGATGAAGACTTCATCAAATCAGTTTATGAGGAAGATTCCCCAAGTAAGGAAGTAGAGGAAATATGTCGAGTTGATGATCATGTTGAATCGCGTGTTTTAGCGCTGATGTCTTTGACAGAGACTCCTCATATTTTTTCTGATGATAATGACATCGGATTGCGTGGAGATGGTTTGGGGAATGATACGGGAAGTTGGTCTAAGGGTGAGAAAGATGAGGTCCTGGTGCATGGAGATGTCCGGGGAGATTTTACGGTTACAAAGAAACGTGGTTGCAAGTCCAAGGAGGAGCGGGCTAGATCACAGTTGGGTTTGGTGCTGCGGCGATCAGCCCGCCTAAACTAATTTCTTTCTGATTTTTTTCCAATGTTAAACTAAATAACATGGAATATCCAAGGCATAAAAAACCAGGTGTCCGAAAGGCGTTTGAGGTATTTGCTTCGGGTCTATAATGTTCGGATTCTGGTTATTTTGGAACCTATGCTTCAGGTTGATAAGTTAGATGAATAAAGCAAGAGCTTGCTTTTGATACTGCTTTCTCCTTAAATAACAGCAAAATATGGTTTTTTGCAAATCTGAAATTCAAGCTTCTTTGTTGAGTGATGATGATCAAGTGCTACACTTTGAAATTAAGCATCCTCTAGTGTCTCGGACTTACTTCTTTTCGGCTATATATGCTAAATCGACAAGGGCTGGGAGACGTGAACTTTGGCAAAGTTTGGAAGGTTTTAAACGTAATAATATGGGTGCTCCTTGGATGGTATGTGGGGACTTTAATGTTATTAGAAGCTTGGAAGAATACACTGGTGTCTCGGTGCAGGATCATTCGGCCATAGTATGTGTATTCAGGCTTGCAATTTGCTAGAGATTCCAGTTGTTGGGAGGACTTTACTTGGGGTGGAACAAGGCAAACCGGTTGGTGAGCAAAATATTAGATAGAGTCCTTTTCTCGGATGAATGGCTGGATTTCTTTCAAGTTAATTCTATTGAGAATTTGAGTAGAACATCGTCCGATCACAGCCGCATGCTACATATGTTTGGAGTGCAAGGTGTTTCCAAGCCTAGAGTTTTTCGGTTTCAGCAAATGTGACTGCAAAGATCGGAGTTTATTTCAGTAGTCAAGGAGAATTGGGAGCAGCCTATAGACGCTTTTGGAATGATAGCTTTCTCTCTTAAATTGAGAAAGCTAAAAATCAAGCTTAAAGAGTGGAATAAATCGTGTTTTGGTGATGTCTTCGCCAACTTGAAGGAAGCGGAAGCAAAGGTGCAACACTTAGAAAATCTTCATGATCTATCTGGCTTGGAGGGTGACAGACTTAACTTGCATAATGCAAAGGCTTTGCTGTTGTTGAGGCTTAAAAGAGCAAGAGGATTTTCTAAAACAAAAGGCACGAATTAGGTGGTTGAAAGAGGGTGATGCTAACACCTCCTACTTTCATGCTTCTTTAAGAGAAAAACGGCTGAGACAAAATATCCATAAAATTCAGGATCAACAAGGAATCATGCTAACTAATTTGAATGCCATTGAACAAGAAGCTGATGATTTCTTTGAGGATCTTTTGAGTGAGGATGATGCCTATAGCTCTTCGCCTGAGGCCGCGCATGAGGTATTCTTGCAACATATCCCGGTTATTTTGGGGGCTGATGACCATGACCTTCTCTTGTGCCCCATCTCACTTGAGGAAGTCAAAGAAGCTGTCTTTAATCTGAATGAAGAAAGTGCTCCAGGAGTAGATGAAATCACTGGTGTTTTTTACCGAAGTTCTTGGAATGTCATCTCGGATGATCTTTGGTCCGTATGCAAGGAATTTATGCTTGGGGTGCCAATTCCACGAGCTATTGCTAGTACTTTGATTACCTTGCTCCCAAAAAAGCAGACTGTAAGTACTTCTTCAGATTTTCGCCCGATTAGTCTTTGCAATTTTCTCAATAATATTTTTACCAAAATTTTGACTGAGCGTTTGAAGGTGGTGTTACCAAAAGTTATTTCTGAGGAACAATCAGCTTTTTTGTCTGGTAGGGACATCATTGATAAAGTTCTGTTGGCACATGATCTTTGCCAGTTCTTAAATCGCAAGGCGGAGGGAGGTAATATTGTTTTGAAAATTTATATGATGAAGGCATTTGATAGGGTTAAGTGCAACTTCCTTGAATCTATTTTACTGAAGTTTGGTTTTCCACCACTTTTTGTAAAATTAGGCATGAATAACCTTCAGAACATCTGGTTTTCTGTGTTGATAAATGGTAGTCCTGCTGGCTTTTTTAAAGCTTTTTGGGAATTAAGCAAGGGGATCCATTGTCACCTTACTTGTTTATCAATTTTTCGGAGGCTTTAACAAGAAGATTGAAACTCTCTAGTTTTAGACGGTAAGATTGGTCCTTATGGATCTCCTGCCGGTTCACTTGTGGTCTCACACTTGTGTTTTGCAGATGATTTGATTATTTTTACAAAGGGGACTCAAAGATCTTTACGAAGGTCAAATTCTTTTTTTGAGCAATATGAAAAAGCTACAGGTCAAAAAATCAGTAGGGGTAAAAGCTCTTTCGTGGCTTCGGAGAAATGTAGCTCAAGAAGAATTGAAATGATCAAAGAAACATTGGGAATGCAACATGGCGCGTTTCCCTTCACATACTTGGGATGCCGGATTTTTAATGGAAGGAAAAAGGCGACTACATTCCAATTTCTCTTGGATGCCTTGGATGCTAAGCTCCTGAATTGGAAAAATAAGTTTTTTTATCTCCGGGAGGCCGACTCATGTTGATTCGGTATGTTTTGAGTTCTATGCCACTTCATGTATTCTCAGAAATTTGACCACCTAAGTCGATCATTAGGGATATGGAAGCTCGCTGCCAAAAGTTTCTTTGGGAAAGATCGAGTGAGGTTAAGAAGCGGCATTGGCGCTCTTGGGAAAGAGTCACTTTTCCCGTTCAAGAAAATGGCCTTGGTTTGAGAAGTTTTGATGATGTTATCTCTGCCCTTACTTTAAAATTATGGTGGAAATTGAAGAACAACAAGGGCATTTGGAGTGCCTTTCTTCACTCTTTGTCTCATTCGGCTAAGGAGAAGACCTCTTGGGCTAGAGTAATGAATGTTGGTGAGCGAGATATAACTTTTTCCAAGATTATTGTACGAAGTGGTGATCGATCATTCTGGTTTGACAATTGGGGTCCTAATGATGTCTTTTGGGTTAATGCATTTAATAAGCCTCCATGGTCGGACCTTTGCATTCGAGAATTTCTGGAGAATAAAGACCTTTATATACCGGCTTTACAAGGTTCCCTTAGTCCAGCAAACTTGGCCTTCTTGGAAAATTTTGATATGGATTTTATGGAGGGTGATGATATTCTTGTTTGGCAAAGTACTCCTTAAGGGAAATTTACGGTCAAATCCGCGTTCGAGTCCTTTCGACGGAGGCAGCAACCAGTTTTGATGCTTAAGCCTTTGTGGCACAAGTTTGTTCCTTCGCGCATCTCTTTCTTCCTCTGGAGATTGCGCAATGGTTTGCTTCCATTTCCTGAAAATTGTTAGTGCTTTTGGTATATTAACAAGGCATTCTATGTGTCTCCTTTGCAGAAACAAAAGTGATAATTTGCATCATTGCTTTTATGGTTGTAATTTTATTACAGCTATATGGGATCACTTTGCTCTTGTTATGAGTGTAGAAGTTCGGGGGCATAGCACTCTGTTGGGTCTCTTGAAGAAGTGCTGGCACCATGGATCTTTCACATCAGCGAAAAAGTCTTTGTATTACCTATTCCCCATCTTTATTCTTTGGGAAGTTTGGAAGGCAAGAAATAAGGCAATCTTTGAAGGAGTTCAGCACTCTTTAAGCTCGGTCATTCACTTAATCCATCATTAGGTTAAAGACTTAATCTTCATTCATGGTTTAAAAGTGGTGGATGATGCTGAAAATTCTTTTATTCTAAGTCTTTTTGGATTTCATTTGACTCGAGCTAATAAAAGGAATCCTAAAGTTGTGAGATGGATTCCAGATTCGAACTGTTTTGTTTTGAATTCGGATGGTTCATCTAATGGTAATGGGGTAGGTTATGGTTTTGTCATCCGAGAAGAAGGTGGTAAGTTCATTTATGGAGAAAGTGGATATTTGGGTGAGGGAGATTTTTTCCAAGTAGAAATTTTTGGTATTCTATTTGGATTTTGTAGGTGCGAGCTCCTATAACTTTCAAATGTAAGGGTACAAACTGATAATCATTCTCTGTCTTGTATTCTGAATGAGAAGAGAGGATTTTCATGGTGATTTCATTTGGAGTTTATTGAGATCTGTTCTGTCATCTCAAGGAATAATTTTTTGGTCTCTCATATTTACAGGAAAGGCAATGCAGTAGCAGACTGTTTAGCTAAACAAGCATCAAGTAGAATATCTAATGCTTACAATAGTTTTGTATCACTGCGTAGTTTTGTAAAGGGGCTTTTGATATTAGATCAATTGGCCTTGCCATATTTACGAAAGTAGCTTTCTATGGCTTTGTACAAGGGTAAGACATAAACATTGTCCTCTTTTTTCCACATCTTAATAAAATCTGGGAAGGGTGAAACTAGGGAACTATATAGTATAAATGTCCATCTCTTGGGTAGACTCCCTGGGTGCATTGTACTATATAGCACTGCCTACCTCAAAAATTTACCTCCTGGGTAGACCCCTTGAGTTTTTTTGAGATAGTTGGAACCTGAATGTCACCCTTGCCCTCCTGTTGAGTTAAAAAAAAAAAAAAGAATTGTTGCATACATGTTGAATAACTGGGAATAGAGTGTCCTCTGAAATTGCGTACATACAACCTATAGTGTGTACACGGAGCTAGTAGTTGTGTACAAAGCCTCTTTCACTTGTTGCCTCCCAAACAATATGGCTAGCTAGTTGGTTTCAGGCTCACTTTTGACAACTTTTGAGTGCAAGAAATGGAAACTTAGCAAGGATTTACTGTAACTAGTTCTGATTTTTTGTTTTCTGGAGATACATACAAAGTCTAATTGCTCTGGAGTTTTTACCAAAGTTAAAAGGATGATCACTCTTGATCACCGCATAAGGGTTTTGAATTTAAACTTAGAGATTGGATGCTAAAAAATTCTGAAGATTGATGCAGTTTAGTTGCTCATTTGATTATGTATTGATACTATAGTGCCTTTTATAGCTTGGTTTAGCTCTGATAAGGACTAGATATCCGTGGTGATAGTGGGTTTGATAGATGTTTTTGGTCTCGTGATTTTTACCTCCTTACATAAATTAGCCGAATGTGTGATATAGCCACTTTTTTTGCTGTTATAATCATTTTGTTTGTTAATTAGCAAGCTATTTCCACTTCTAGCTAGCTTGTTTCGGATATAGCTAGCTACTTTCATTTCTAGTTTGCCAGTTTGCCAAAAGAGTTAGTTAGTTTCAGGTTTCAACCTAGTTGCCTTTTCTTAATATAGTGTATATGAGATGACCTATTGCATACATGCTGAATTACTGGAAATAGAGTGTTGTCTGATATTTCGTACATACTAACCACTGTTGTGTACACGAATCTGGTAGTTGTGTACATAGCCTCTTTCGGGTGTTCCCTCCCTAAAAATATGCCTAGCTAGTTGGTTTCAGGGTCAGTTTTGACAACTTTTGACTGCAAGATAATGGACAACAAATGATTTATTGTACCTAGTTTTTATTTTATGTTTTTGAGAGAGGCATAAGAAGTTCGATTGCTCTGAAACTTTACCCGAGTTAGAATGCACATCACTCATAATCTGTGCAGAAGGCTACTGGATTTTAATGTCCAGATTGGAAGTCATAAAATTCTGAACATTACTGCGGTTTAGTTAAACATTTTACCATGTATTGATCCTCTAGTGCCTTTTTTTTTAATAAATTGGAGGATGTGATGACTTTCAGGTTCCAACTGATATAGCAAAACTCAAGGGGTATACCTAGGAGGTATCTTCTATATCAGGCAGTGGTATGTAGTACATGCACCCAAGGGGTCTACCTAGGATATGGACATAAATACTACATAGTTCCCTAGTTTCGTCCCTTCCTAATTTTATTCACTTAAATAAAAAAGAGAACATGGGTAAAGTATGGTTTTACCCTTCCCTTTTTACGACAAGTGACTATTATATCATCTACCCTTGTCTTTTTACAAGTGACTATTACATCATTTAATGCAACTTCTACTATAAGGGAAGGATGATTGATCCAAGACCATCAATCCTCTTACAAACAAAGACAAACTAGCTAAAGATAGAATAACTTCCGAGATCCCTAAAGAAGCCCTCTTTGCTAGGCAATCAGCAACTGAATTAGCCTCCCTAAAGATGAGTGTAACCCCAAAGCCATTTTTTTGGAAGATGGATGACATTTCTTGCATTTGGAAATAATACTGCCAAGGAAATCCCGACATTCCAGATAAAGCAAGAACCACCTTGAAACTATGATGCTTGAAACTTCTACATGTATTGGTTCTAAAAACATCTTTTCTTGATTGAAGGCCTAATTTTTTTTTTCCGGGCTGAAAGTTTAAGGGTTTGGTGTGGTAGCTTTAGAAGGGCCTTTGAAATTTTGAGCAGACATTTTGTTGCTTGATCCTGCCATTGGATAATTTGATGGAGGGTTCTGTGCTTGGTCAGAATTTGAAGCAATAGCCTTTAAATCAGCTTGTTGGTTCATCATCAAATTTGGTGGGGGATCAAATTTGTGATTCAGAGACTGGTGATGGTGCTATAATAGAGCGGTTTCGACACCTTAAGGCTGCTGCTGTTAGAGCTGGATTGGGCATGGGGAGGCGGTCAAATAGAAATGTTGTTGAGACTGGGGCTTCTTTTGTTGGGCCAGTGGCTGATAGGAATGTTAATCGGGGAATGAGTGGTGGCTTGGAGGGTGGGGGTTTCGAGCATAGCATTGGGCAGAGGGGGAAGGGTTGCAAAAGGAAAAGTAGCTGTCTTGTTGCCATGGCATTGGGGATGAGCAGCGATGTAAGGACGGTACAAGGGAGTAGTGGCAACTTCTACGATTGTAACATTTGTATGAACATTGCTAGAGAACCTATCCTGACGTGTTGTGGGCACTTGTTTTTTTGGGGTTGCTTTTCTAAGTTGCCTTATGCTAATTCGTTTGCAAGGGAATGTCCTGTTTGTGAAGGAGAAGTGACTGATTCCAACATTGTTCCCATTTATGTGATGGAGATAGTGCTAGGGAGTCTAGTTTGGATTCGTTAATAACAATTCCTCCCAGGCCAAAGGCACAGAGAGTGGAGAGTGGGAGACAGCAGGTTGTGGCTCTGGCTGTGTCCCATATCCATGTTCCAGTTTCAGAAGCCCTAAGGCATTTAAGGACTAGTAATAGTAGTACTAGTACAGTGGGGGAGAATTTGCCTGTAGAAAGAGAAGGTTTTCAGGTATCCCGCAGAAGTGCTTTTACGAGGGTGTTACCAGAGAATGCTATCACTCCTCCTCACATTTTTCCAGTGCTTGCTGATGCGGAAAGGTTGCTCGATGCACTTGAGACATATTTTAATAATGGCCAGTTGTAAAGAATTGATGCACACTCCTAATCAGTTATAAAGGAAATTTACTTTTGGGGACGATATTGTCACACCCACCTTTGGAGCATCAACTATTAAGTGTTGATATTAGGTCCTCTATACCTGCTCTTCCTTCGCATCACAACCAATAGAACCAGGCGTAATCTTCCTTCTTGTGGCTTTGTTCACGTGTCCACCTTACTGGAGAGGAAAGAATTCAGCGAGGGGTTCAGAAAAGTTCACTTGAAAAGGAGGTTTGCTTGAGTGTTGTAATTAATTTCTTTTTTGGGTGTCTCTGTGCTTCTCCATTGAGAATGCAATGTAGATTGATTCAGTAGAAATTGAATCACTGAACTTTTAGCTTATTACATATAACCATTCTGTAACAAAAAGCGATTGCATCTTCGACCGAGTATTAGATTGAATTTGTTCTACATTCATTACTTGGCCAATTTATGTTTGTGTTTATTACCCTTCGACACTTTATTCAAAAGCATGGCTGCAACTCTGGAAGCCAGTATGCACGGCTTAAGAGTTTTCGATCTTAGAGTTAACTTATATTAACATCTCCAGTCCTCGTGAAAAACATGGGAAGTGTTCATTTGATCTTTACCATAGGGGCTATTGTTTCTTCACTCCATGTTTTCTTTTAGAAAGTTCCAATAATTTAGGTTCAATGGTACAGACACTGCTAGGAAACTCCAACTCTGAGCAGACTTCTCAATTACATAAACCTGAACACTTTTCTATATTTGCCATCATTATAGTCTTCGTTTGAATTCACAATATTTCAACCAAGAATTCCGTTTTAGTCTCTTTTGCCGAGTGTTTTTTTTCTGTTTCTTAATAGTATATGTTGTACATGTTAGCAAAAGAATCCTTTGGGTTATGAGGAAGAGACCTTTTAGTTTATTGGTTTAGGAAGTGGAAATGAAAGAGAAGGAAATTTTGGGAGAAAGGGAGGTTCACTACTTTGTACTAAAAGAAACAAAGTGGAAAGGATTGTACTAAGCTTTTAGCTTAAGAACTCATACAACTTCTCTACTCCCTTACATTAATGCCTAAGCCTTTATTTATAGTGCTCCATAGAAGATTCTACATCCATTCTATACCTTTCTACTACTTACTAAATATCTAGATATTTTAGTCTTAATATCTAGGTTTTTCCTCAAGATATTTTCATAGAATTTTCCACAAGCTCTAGATTTTTTCTTAGAATTTTTCTACTAGTTTCTACTCCTTTTCTAGACTATTCTATCAAGTGGACTAAACTCTTTAAATAACACTAACAGTCCTACTAAATTAATTGGATAGCCCAATATTATTAATTGGGCCAAATTAAGTTTACTTACTAACACCCCCCATTAAACTTGATTAGGTGAGTCCAAGCATCATCCTCAATCTTGCAAAGCCTTCTCCTTTGAGTGGTTTGGTGAAAATGTCTGCAACTTGATCTCGAGATCTTTTATGATTCAACTCAACAATCTTCTTGGCCACACATTCTCTTATGAAGTGGTACCTTGTATCAATATGCTTGCTTCGATAATGGTAGACTGGATTCTTCGCCAGATCGATGGCTGACTTGTTGTCAACGTAGATCTCAGTCGCTTCTGCTTGTGGCATACTCAACTCCTTTAACATGCTCCTGAGCCAGATAGCATGACATACACATGATACTTCTGCTACGTACTCGACCTCGCATGATGACAAGCTGACTATAGGTTGTTTCTTAGAGACCCAAGTAAAGGCAGTGTTGCCAACGAAGAATGCGAATCCAGTAGTGCTTTTCCGTTCGCTCAATTCACCAGACCAGTCACTATCACTGAATCCTACAAGCTTGAAGCTTCACATGAGTAATATAACAAGCCAAGATCAATAGTACCTTGGATGTAGCGAAGTATCCTCTTGGCAGCCTTCATGTGTGTTATAGTAGGTGATTCCATGAATCGACTGATAAGTCCCACAGCGAAGAGGATATCAGGCCTTGTACATGTTAAATAACATAGGCTTCCAACAAGACTCTTGAACTGAGTTGGATCCACAGCATCTCCATCATCATCTTTCGAGAGCTTTGCTCCATATTCAATGGGGGCGGCTATTGGCTTGCACTTCTCCATGCCAAATCTCTTAAGAACTTCCTTAGCGTATCCTTCTTGAGAGATGAAGATTCAGTCATCCAATTGCTTAACCTCGATGCCAAGATAATAGGACATAAGTCCTATATCAGCCATCTCAAACTCATGAGTTATTGCCTTCTTGAAATCTTCAATCATGCAAGGGGAATTTCCTGTGAAGATGAGATCATCCACGTACAAACAAACAAGCAATATATCTCCATTGCTTGAAAACTTCACATAGAGTGCATGTTCACTTGGACATTTCTTGAAACCATTTTCCTGAAAATAGTGATCAATTCTTGTATTCCAGGCTCTTGGTGCTTGTTTCAAACCATATAGAGCCTTTCTTAGCTTGAGAACTTTATTCTCATGGCCTTTGACTACATATCTCTCTGGCTGCTCCACATATATTTCTTCTTCAAGAAAGCCATTCAAGAATTTGGACTTTACGTCCATTTGATGGATTTTCCATCTATTTTGAGCAGCAAAAGAGATTACTAACCTGATAGCCTCCAATCAAGCAAAAGGTGCAAATACCTCTTCGTAGTCAATGCCACGCCTCTGCTTGTAGCCTTTGGCGACAATTCTTGCTTTGTACTTCTCAACTTCTCCTTTAGCGTTCTTCTTTGCCTGGAACACCCACTTTACTCCAATTGCTTTGTGGCCTTTTGGAAGAGAGGCTAGCTCCCAAGTTTGATTTTTTCTATGGATCTCATTTCCTCATCCATAGCGTGTCTCCACTTCTCGTTCCTTGCTGCCTCTTCGTAACCTAGAGGTTCACAGTTAGCAAAAAGGTAGAAGAGTGTGAGAGCCTCTATGCATGATGTTTCCTCATAGATCTCTTATAGGCTTCTCGTCTTTTGCGTCTCTTCATTCAAAGGTGAACGTGGACTTTGAGGTTGCTGAGTATCTTCACCCACATCACTACTTTCATCATCGTATTCGTGGATGACAGGAAGGAAGTCGTAGATTTTAACACCTTCAATATTCCAATTACAGGTTCCTTCTTCATCAAACTCTACATCTCTACTCACAATAAGTTTGTTCGTGACTGGATTGTAGAGCTTATAGCCTTTTGACTGTTTTTCCTAGCCAACAAAGACATGCTTCTCGCTTCGATCATCAAGTTTGGACCACTTTTGGCTTGGTACGTGGGCATATGCTATACTCCCAAACACTCGTAGGTGATTCACTGCGGGTTTTGCCCCATTCCATGCTTCTTGTGAAGTCTTGTCTTCTAGACTCTTTGTGGGACATCGATTTAGTAGGTAACTGCACAATCAACTACTTCAGCGCAGAATTCCTTTGGCATCTTCTTGCTCTTTAGCATGCTATGAACCATATTGAGAATGGTTCTATTCTTCCTTTCCGTGAATCCATTTTGTTGCGGGGAGTAAGGAGTTGTAAGAAAATGCCTAATCCCATGTTCTTCGCAGAATTTTGTGAATTCACTTTATGTGAATTCTCCACCTCTATCAGACCTTAAGGCTTTGATTTTCAAGCATTTCTCCTTCTCTACCACAGCCTTAAATGTCTTAAAGGCATCAAAGGCTTGTGATTTCTCCTTCAAGAAATACACCCAAGTCTTTCGAGAGAAATCATCAATAAAAAGGATAAAGTAGTTGTTCTTACCATGGGATGGCAGAGAGATGGGGCCACACAAATCTGTATGGATGAGTTCCAAAGGCTCCTTAGCTCTTGATGTTGTTTCTTTTGGGAAAGCACTCCTTGAATGCTTCCCAAGTAAGCATCCTTCACATACTTGATTGGGCTGATTGATAGGAGGCAGTCCTTTCACCATGTAAATGCAGATAACAATGTCAAGTCACCAAAATTTAAATGACCATACCTCATGTGCCAAATCCACGAATCATTCTTCAAGCAATCTTTCATGCAATTCTCATGTTGAATGTTCAACAAGAACATTCTATTGCTTATCATTGGCACAATGGTGATCAATTTTTCTTCTGGATCCTTCACTATGGCACTACGATCTTTCAAATGAATATCATAATTTTTCTCTAGAAGCTGTCCAAACTCAAGATATTACTCTTGAGACTTGGAATATAGTAAACTTCTGAGATGTATTGGTGAGTTCCATCTTTAGCAAGGATTAGTATCTTACCTTTGTTTTCAACCCTTGCTCTAGAATCATCACCAAACATCACGTAGACTTTGGTTGGTTCCATGTCGATGAATAACCTTTTTTTCCCCAGTCATGTGGTTACTCGCAGCGGAGTCAAGATACCATGTCTTCTTCCTTCCTTCGTCCTCGTGTCTTGCCATTAAGAGAGTGAGTTGAACTTCATCTTTAACCTCCATAAGATTGGCTTTCTCTTTTACTTGACTATAATTCATACACTCACTTGCATAGTGACCATATTCTTGGCAATTAAAGCATTGAATTCGAGATTTACCTCTTTTCTGAAACTTCATACCTCTTCCACAACCTCTTGTAGATTGAGAACCTTGGTTATTGTCATCCTTGGGGGATTGAACGTAGCCATCTCAAGCCCTTCCTCGTCCACGTCCTTGAAATCCACCATTGCCTCGTCCAAGGCCTCTGCCACGTCCAAAGCCTCCATCTCTTTCTTTGAAAGAGAGTTTTGTGTAGAGAGCTTGCTCCAAAGATTATTTGGGCCTTCTCTTCTTAAGTTTCTCTTCATGGGCTACTAAAGTACCCATGAGTTGATCAATGGTAATGGAGTCTAGATCTTTTGACTCCTTTATAGCCACCACAATATAATCAAAGCTTGGTGTCAAAGAGCGAAGAATTTTTTCTATGACTCTTGTGTCACTCAAGCTTTCTCCATTCCTCTTCATCTCATTAGAAACTTTCAAGACATGGAATAATAATCTGAAACGGATTGGGACACCTTCATTTGAGATGCT